TTACAGAACAAATTGGAGAACTTCAAAGGAAATTTTTCTTCTAGTTTGCTCTGTGGGTAGAAAATGCAAGAGAGTATAAAAGGCCTGCTTTTCTTTCTCTAGATACATTACCAGGCACTTACATATACCATCCCATGGTGATGGGCAGAACCCAGACCATGTATGGCTCGTTAAATTCCTCCAAATATAGTTTGTTAGGTGCAAGAATACTGTTGTTACGGTTCCGGCTTCTCTTCTGTAGGCTCGGTCATCCTTGTTTGCTCCTTACACGCCCAGTTTCCCAGGCTTCCAGGCATTTCCTTCACTGATTTCTAAACAATCTTCATTGGGCCACTTTTTTCTGGCAATGTCATGCTCCAGAAACTGTGTAATTTATGGACTCACTGGTGCCCTCCAATGTGCTGACCACACAGCTTTCCATAGTCTGTATTGCCTCTGCTCTTGATGCAGGAGAGTTACAGGAGCTGTAGTGGTTCTTGTCATCTGCTAGGAGGAGAGGACTTGTAAATTCAAAACCCTGCAGAGATAAATGAAAATGCTAAGAGCACAAGAAGGATATGGATCAACAGGAGCAAAACAGAGTGATAAAATCTGGTACCTCAGAGGAGCTCATCAACTGAAATTTTGCTTACCAGTAAAACTTGAGGGAGCAGTTTAGCTTCCCAGTAAATCCTGATGGAGATGCACAAACCCTAAGATCTTATCTGTAAAAGCAGGATGCAGGTCTGTGTCACAAGCACAGGCTACTTTTCAAGCCCATCTAAATGTGACATTGCTACAAAGGAGAAAGCCAGCTCTGAAGGGCTTAACTTTGTATTAACTCAAGAGTTGCAATGTTCATTTTCACACATTTTAGTTATTATATCAGAACCTGCAGTGGAAAATACCCATCTGTGAAATCACACTGATTTCCTCTTTTCCTTGGATTACTCTATAGAAACACGAGCTGAGTCAGACTCTTGGCATTCTGTTTCTGAGTTGCAAACATTGACTGCAGCCCTTGTACACTGTTTTGGATGGTGAATCGGTGCTTCGAGCTCAGACCCCTCTGCAACCCCGCGCTTTGTTGTTGGGCTACAAGGCCACCGTGTCTGGACTTGCCACAGCCAAGAAGGGGTCTGGCAATGCAAGTTCAGTGCCTGGCTCTCTGCTGCAGGTTCCCTTTGTGGCTTTGGTGGCCAGTCTCACAGTTCCCAGGTGGTCCATTTGTATCGGTCAACAGAGATGAGGATACTCAGCATCCCAGGGTTCCTGCATGGAAAATTTTACCCATGTTCATGAGATAGGATATGACCAGGGGACCACATCTTCCACTGTAAATTGCCTTTCAATCTAGGGCATTTTCCCTCACCAGTGTAACAATCCACTCTAAGCTCCATCCCAGAGAGGTTTTTTAGAGAATGAAAGCTGCTTTGCAAGAAAATTCCTCTATGATAGTCATCAGCCATCATCATTCATCCTGCTCATGTCATCATACACAGTGTTGTACCATGCCCAGAGATGGAGAATCTCAAAGCTCCAAGGGTTCTCTGAGTAAAAAAATGTATAAATGCAGCTAAGGAAATCTATCCTTCTGCCATCTGTTCTGTAACCCAGAACCGTGCATACCTCTTGGCTGCATTATAAAAGGAATGATCAATGAAAAAAAAATTCATCTGTATGTTCTCCAGACAGAAGATTATCATACGGATATGTTACCATCTTCTCACTTTCCAGGCATAAATGAAGGGAAAAGCAACTCTCTCCTGAGCCAGTAAATTCCCCCAACCGGTAATTTTTTCTCCTGATCTAGTGAGATCCTTGGGAATAGAGGTTTTTTAATTCTTATTATTATTATTATGGTAAACTGCTTCAGGAAAGGTTTCAACAAAAGAAGTAAACCTTACATTGTATTCAGATAATGTTCTTAACTTCTCAACAAGATTTACTAAATTGCACCCTGGGAATTATGCAAATGAAACCTTTGGTCAAAATGTTACAGGATTACTGAAAAAAAATTTTTTTTTTTTTAAATCTCATTAAGAGTGTTAAAATTGCATGTTCCAATATGAAAAGCATGTGCCTTTGTGTGATGAATATCTCCCTGGTAGTAATATGTACTATGCTTCATTGTCAATGGTCTTTGCAACTTTCTGTGACAAGTGCTACTTCTTACGTGATTTTTTCTGAATGTTTCACATCCTTGTATTCTTACTGGAAATGGAATTAAGTGCAGGTAACAGGCAAACCATTGTAGTATGATGGCAATTAACAACAAATAATGAGTCATTGCTGAATATTTGCAACATATTTCCCCCTATCTTTGTTTTGCTCAATGCAGTATAACTAGCTCATGGATTTTTCTTAGTATAATTGGGTAAGTCGTGTGGGTCTTATGATGTATTTCATCTCCTAGATCTGCAATGATTTACATACAGACAGCTTAGACCCTATTAATGCTAATAAAAGTGCTGCAAGGACATCCTATAGCATACACTTTATTAAACTGTACATAGCTTTCTTAGAGAGCTTCTGTTTATCTGTGTTTCCTGAAAATAAAATATAGTGCCTTCAGCACTGAATATTTAAATCCAGCCTCCTTTTCCCTGTTTCTTTCTCTCTCTATGCATTTCTAATGCTTCTATCACAATGGGATCTGGGTACTATATGCAACAGGAAATAGAGAGGAAAATGTCCACAAAGAACAGACTCTCCCCTTCCATGATTCAGGTTAAAACTGTTTCCATTTTAGTTCTTTGGAGAGAGGCTGGTTTTGCTGTTTGGTGCTTGTGCTCAAGTTACAGCCATAGTTGAGCCAGGTTGGGGCTGGGGCTGGAGCTGGGGAAACTCTCCTGGCTCCCATGTTTCAGTGAGCAAAAAGATAGGAAAAGTGCAGATACCTTGGGTTGGTTTGTTTGGCCTTTTTTTTTCACCTTTGATAAGGAAAAGATTTGTTAAGGCTGAGGGGCTGGTTTTATGCTGACATGTTACAGGTCCTTTGGAGCTGTGCAGGTACACACTGGTAGAGACAGGCACACAACTGTGCATCCCATGTTACCCTTTTTAATTTCTAAGATGAGAACCCCACACTGGCTCAAAGTTACAGTTCCAGTGGTGGCTTCCTATGTTTTCTCTTACTTTAAACCTAGCTACAAATGTGTACACAGTGGCTTAGAACTTTAACTCCCTCACTTGATCTATACATTTGCAGAGACATTCACAGAAATTCAATTTTCAGCCCTTTCTGCCTGGCAGGGTGAAAGTTGACTTTCTGAAAGTGGGGGCTGTGGACTTCAGTTATTGAACTGGTGAGTTGGTTGCCATCATTAAAACTACAGTTGTGCAAGCAAAGCTTGATTTTAATAGACTCTTTTTCACCCACAGTTTTGGTAATGAAAATTGGATTCATGCCTGTCTAGTTGCGTCTCTTACAAACACCCACTGGGCCCACAAAAACCTGTAAAACCATTGTGTGCAGTATGAGGGCACTTTCACAATGTCCCCAGTACCTCTTTTAAGTGATTATACCAGTGTAAGTCCAATCAGTTTCCCTTGATACTAATAGCCTAAACAAGCAGTGAATCCTGTAGAGAAAAGACAGATGAAACTGTCTCTATTCCCTGACCTTCAGCTCCAGAAGTGTAGGTGCAGCACGAATCAATCCTGGCAGTGTCTAGTAATAACTGACATTATTAGCCGTTAACGGAAGCAGACTATTTGGTGGAGGCAGTACAAAGAAAACAGTGTACAAACTTGGTAATGATGTGGACAAAGGCATCAAAGGAGATTCTCAGTGCCAGGGGATCTGATATTATTCTGCACTGACACGTTCAGCAACTTGTCAGCCTCCCATGTCAGGAGAGGAAGAAATAGCAGTAGGTCGCATGCGGGAGGAGTGTGAGAGCATCCCACAGCCCTGTCCCAATTCCTTTGCCTGACAAGCAAAGCCTCCTCTTCCCCTGGGAAACGACTTTCACTCCCCAAACTGGGGCTGTTTGGGGGGCACAGGGGCCTCCCGCATCCCACTGAGCCCACCTGGGCTCCGCCAAGCCTGCCACTGCCATAGCAGAGATGCTAACATGCACTCAGCTACGAGATTTCTATTATCTTCCCTCTACTTTGTTGTATTCATAGACCTGCTAGGGAAAAATTTATGCACGTCACTTTTACACTGCCAAGACAGTTTGTGATGGTGCGGGGGGTGGTAATTTATTTGTACCTTGCACTTTCTTTCAGGAATAGTCATGCTGTTGCAAGAACTTCTTTCAGCATTTGATCAGAAAATTAAATTTGGGTTTAAAGAGATAGTCGAGGTTGCTAGGACAACATATTAACCTCCCTTTTTTTATTTTCCCAGCTCTGTATCCAAGGTTCATGTAATTTGTCATGCTGTATTCAGTTTGTGGTGTTGTTCTCAAGGTATGGGAGGGAAAGGGTTTCAAAAGCAATGTGCCAAACACGCTTTTCCTCAACAAATAGTCAAATGAAACGGTAACATCCCACTGGGCATTCCCGGCCTTGCTTTGTTGAGCCAGCAGGGTTGGAGGAAGGGGGAGAAAACAGCCCTGTTCTTCAAATTTCATGGGAGTATTTGTGTGCACAGTCACAGGGACTGAGAACATGATGAGGAAGCATCCAGACAGCGTTTTCAGAAGTGATTAATGGCTGGGAGACTCTGGGTATAGCTGAACAATTTGGACACTTTAAGGAGCCTAGGGTTTCAGTAACATGTAAACAGCATTTTTTCTGCATGTAGATTCTTCCACATCTAAGGCAAAAAGTCAGAATTTCAGTGATTCCTAGAGAATCATCATAAATAAAAGAGGAGGAAAATAGCTGAAAATATGTGGAATATACTTTTCCTGGCTTTTCCCCAAACCTTTGGCATACAGCTCCCTTGTCAAAATTGACAGCGGTATTACATTTATGCAGCTTTCAGGCTCAGATCTTTAAAGTTGTTTTAGCATCCATATGGCTTTTGTCCAAAACTTGCCAATTGCTGTCTTTGTTATTTCATCCAGATTCGTTCTGATAAGGACAAAGAGATCCATATCAGATACAGCATCACTGGAGTGGGAGCTGACCAGCCGCCAATGGAAGTCTTCAGCATTGACCCTGTATCTGGCAGGATGTACGTGACCCGCCCGATGGACCGAGAAGAAAGAGCTTCCTACCATGTAAGCATAAAACATCTCGAGTTTTATCAAGGGTCATAAGCTCAAAGCAAAACTGTACCAGAATTACCGGGTTCAAGAAGGGACATGCAGCTTTGAGAAGACCGGGGGTTTTGTTCAAAATCACAGCCCAGTTCCCCAGTTCACAGTTTGGACTGGTTCCCTGTGTCAGCAGAGCCCGGAGGAGCGGACTGCACAGAGGTGCTCGGGCTTAACTAACAGGGTGAGTCTTGGTCTCGCTCTGCCGGAGCAGCTGTGAGTATGTCTGGAGAGGCTGGCTTTGTTTCTTCTTTCCTTTAGTGTAACCTGCCCTTGCTAAATCAGCCAAACCAGTGCAAAGTGGCATTAAACTGATGTCCTTTTCAGACACAAAGTCAGAGTCGTTTGTTTAAAGTGGTGTAACTTTACGCTGCTTATTAAATTCATGCAAATTTATGTGTGGACTGAACCCCCCAAAACCATGAGAAGCCGATTGCTACATTAGCATGTCTTGGGAAATTACTAATTTAAGAATCATTACTGCAGCTAAACATGCAATAATTGGAATAGTCATTTTTCATTTTAAATGACTAGGAGATGTTCAGGCAGTATGATGGGGGTGTGTCAGATAGGTTTTTAAATATGCAGATAGGCCAGTATTAAATATGAGGAAATTAATTGAGATTAATTACACTCAAAAGTGGTGCCTCATGCTATCCTAGTTCATAAAATACTCAACCTGCAGAATGCTTAGAGTGTAATTGGCCTTTATGTTTTGATATAAATCCTAGCGCCTGTATTGCACAGTGTAATTGCACAGCAGATACAGTCCCACAAATTGCTAAAAAAATGTGTTGCACCTTGCATGATAGCCCTGCAAAATTTCAAACACTTTCTCCATCTGCGCTTTAGTTCTCACCTGGAGTGGTTGTGAAAGGTTGTTTCATGGATTGCTTTGTATCAACATTAGCCACATCTATCGGCATCGTAATAGCCGTTCCCAGGGATGCTGTAATGTCAGTGAAACTGTACGGGTCACTTCCAGTGACACCGTATTCCTAACTGCGCCGTCAGAGATGCACATTCTGTCAGCTTTATCAGGTATCCAGTTAACCATGTTGACACAGCTTCTGGACTGGGTTGGAAGGATAAAGAAAATAGATTACCTCTTTAGTTGGGTGGAAAAAGAGATTTCCCCTGGGTAAAGGAAGATCTGAAGGAAAATTATTTTATCCTCTGTGAACAAGAACAATTATTTTGTTTGTTGTGCCTAGGAAAATATGAAGAGAGGTTATTTTGAAAAAGGAGTATTTGAGGCACAGTGTGTGTCATCTCAGAATTGTTGATATTGTTTCAGCAGTGCCAGGTTATTATAACAGTGTAGTCAATAATACAATACACAAGTTAACACTTTTGATGGAGCCACTGTGATGTCTGCTATCAGACACTCTCAGTCAAAAACATATGATGAAAAGGATTTTGTCCTCCGCAATAGCAAATCATGTGCCCCCTAATAACAAAGTTAACCTACCTGCTACAGTGAATTCAGTAAACTGAATTCTTGCTTTGACAAAGGTGGCTGGATAAGTCTACCTCGTATGCACCACAGGATTTCCAGCCTTTTGTGTTCCCTACGGAAACCTTGAACTAGTGACATCCATATGTAAATAAGCATATTCACATTCTGAAGGTTACGGGAACATGTAGTTTATAGAGAGTGAATAATTGATAAGTATGTTATGAGACCTTATAGGCAGGAATAGTTAGTGATAGAAAATCTTTGTTAGCAGAACAGTAGAAGATGATGGAGAACATTTTAAGTCATGGCTATAAACAACCTTTAGATCCTTCAGCCTCAGTAGCAATGCACTGATGATTTATTGAACCATCAATTGTTCATTTAATAACCTTTTACAAAGCATTTATAAATACACCAGGCACAAAGCAGTGACCCAAACACTAGTGCTGAAACTTACAGTAGGAATGAAAAATCCTAGAAACTGGAAAAAATTAGGCCAGCTTCCTGAAAGAATATACAGTCCAAAGTCTTGGCTGTTGTAAGTTTTGGAGAAGTCAATGAATTTATGCCATTTCATGTAGCTGAATCTCTAATTGAAAGGAAAGGCAGACTTGGAACCAGGCTTATGCTGAGTACTGGAAGAGCAGTGACCAAGGTGTAGGTTGGGATCTGAACTGGCCTGATCTGAGCTTGGCCATCTTTAAATTGGTTTGACATCTACTGTAGAGTTTTCTTTAGCTCAGATTCATAGCTTAACACCTCATCTGGGGTAAAGCATGTCAGTGGAGCTGGAAGGCACCATCCCTGGTCCCTTTTACCCAGTAGGACATGGGCTTGTCTGATACGGGCTTGCTGCTCTGGCTGAAGATGGGTGCATTTATACAGCTTCAGGTTTTCTGCAGTCCAAAACAGAATGCAGTTTTTTCAGCATCTCTATCACTGTCAAGTGTTGTCCTTGCTGTTTTCATTCCCAGGTAATCTAAAAACTAATTATAAAAAAATAATAATAATTTGCAAGTGTTTTTGAGGCTACATATGAAGAGTTCTGTTTCATTAACTCCCACATTTTCAACACATATTTTCTTATGCATAATTATCTGTATTGCTTCAGGACGACCATTTTTAAAATACTAGTGTTTTAACTCTCTCCACATTTAGCAAACCATTTGTCTGATGAAACCTATCTTTTTCCCTAAGGTGAAACAGATTTTTTTTTCTAATTAGATTGGGAATTCTGTAGCAGAACTTCTTCTGTTTTCAAGATCATTCTTGAACTTTTAGAGAGGATCATTCTGAGCTTGATGTATGCAGAGATGTGTATGCCTCTGGGACTCACAGTGTCTGCCCAGGCGCAGCTTGTGCTAGCATTCCTGCGTTAACCTCCCAGCACAACTGGCGCTGGTAGTGATCACAAGTTCAGCTGTATTTTGGCCTCATCTGTTTTCTTGTCTGCGCTACAAACCAGAGTACAAACTCTCCAGGGACCTTGCAGACATCCCAGACGCAGAGTCAGCTGCAAATATGAGCAGAGAAAAATGAGAAGGGCTTTGCTGCCACTTAACCGACACCACGTTGTGGTGCAGAACTGCACATGTTGCACCGAGTGATGCTGCGGGAGCTGCTCCAGTGTCTTCAGAGCCCGTGCCTGGGGATGCAGCCTGGGGGCACACTCCCAGCACAAGCACGAGCTCATTCCCCCCATCTTGTTGCCGTCTCACTGTAGCAGGCATGTGTTGTTGTATCTCCCCTTGTAGTCAGCTCTTAATGTTTATCGCATGCCAAATAAGTTTCAGCAGGTAGTAATATTTAATATGCATGAGTTCTCTTGGCCTTATTTAACTGTGTTCCCAAAGTCCCGTTTGTACTTCTGACAGAATTAGTGACTCTGAACGTGTTTTCTGATCCAGACACCAGTTTCATATCAAGCTGCAGTTAGGCCTGGCAAGTACAAAGGATAGTAAATTGGCAGGTTAGTTTTCAAGCTCTGTTTTCAAAAGACATCAACATAAACATGTCAGTAAGTAGTCATTGCTTATGATACTCAAGTAATTTGCATTATGGGGAAACTCCGAAGCAAGTTCTAATCCAGTCCCAGACACGTGTACACCTTCAGCATGAGACTGATGAAATCCCATCTCAGAAATGGCTAGAGCAGAGCTGGTGGGTTAAGTCCAAGAAGGAGATGTTTGAAGTGCAAGCAGACAAAAAAGTTTACTAGAAATTAAGGGATGCAAGAGCTAATTCCAGTATTTTGAATCAAGTTTTAGTGAATAATGCCAACCATTTATATCACAATACTCTAATTTGAACTTTTAATCACAATTAAGAGCATACAAATTAGGCATGGCATTGTATGCTTATTGCTTAAAGGCTCTGTCACTGATTGATAATGTATATTTGTATTAGTAGTATTAGTGAATAAGTAATATTCATATTTAACACAATTCACTGTGTTGACTTTGACTAACTACCTTCAGATATCACCAGCCTCCAGTGTAATCAATAATCATGATACTGAATCATTTGTATGCCAACAGCTACATTTACACTGGAAACTGTCAGTAGAAAAACCTCAGAGACCTGTGGTAGCTGCTGCTGAATATGATAGCAATAATTGTCATACTTTAAAAAGTATTTGTTAAAGAATATCGAGCCAGCTTCTTGGCTGGTGTACAGCAGGGTGATACACCAGCTAGAGATTAGCCGGCTACCTGTATTAATTTTTCAGAATCTGCAAGGTATTTAATTTGATTTTATTTATTCCTTCTCTACTCCTGTCATATTCCTCCCTATTGGGGACAATTTAAATATTTCAAACCAACTTTATAAATGTTTCTTAGCTGTGTCTCCAGCTGGCCAGCAGCTTCCATCTGAACACTCATGCATGACCTGTGTCTGGCATGTGTCCCATGGCCCAGGTTGTGCTCACCAGCATTTTTCGTTGGTGGTTTTTCCAACTGTAAATGACATGTGTGTCTGACAGAACACAGTCATCACCTTTTGTGCCTTGCCTAGTGCCACAAAGCACTTACATGCACCTGCTTTTCATCCCATCCATCATTCTACCACCAAAACACGCACTTGGTCACAGGTGGGAGCAGATGGCAGCCTGAGCCTCAGAGCACCACGTTAGACTCAGACTCTGCCTCGCACAACCAAGCCCTGTCTCAGCATCTGAAGAACAACTCCAGAACAAAGTCTGTTGTCCAGCTTGAGGATGACTCATTAATACAAAGAGTAGGGCGTGAGAACAAGGGAGAACATGAATTAAGGAAGGGAAACGTAGTATCTGATCTACCTTGGAGATACAACTAGTTTCCCTGTGGACAGATTTCCCCACTGGAGTCCCTCCTTCCTTTGCTCTCTCCACTGGGAAAGGTCTCTAATGGGGAATGGTCCCCAATGAGGAAGAGCTCCCATTGAGCTGAGTTGAGATTCAGCCCTCTGGCTCAAGCCTCTCTTCTCCCTCTGCTGCAGTTGGCACTGACCACAGGGGAGCAACATGTTGTGGAAGGATACGGAGGCGTTGGCACATGAGAAATTGTTAGGGGAAGACGAATAGAGAAAATTCATGCAAGCAGCCACAAGAGGAAAAGTTCATTGAAGTCGGGCGAAAAGGGAGCAGGAGAGAGAAGAGGGGTGTACAGAAAGGGCAGCTGTAGTAACTGTGTTGGAGAGCAGAAGAGCAGCTACAGACACCCAGATACCAGCATAATCCAGGACATAAAGGTGCAGGGTCTGCTGCCCTGGGCTTGGGGAGCAGGTGACATCCTCCTGACTGCCCAAAAGCCATTAGTCAGAGTACCAGTGCCTGTGTCCCCAGGCACTGTCCTCCCTCCCATAACAGCCCAGGTGCTGGTGCTGGGCTCAGGGCAGAGGTGACACTTGTGCATGTCACCACAGGGTTGATGAGATTCCTGCAGTCTTGCTTATTGAATCTTTCTTTCCTTGAGTGCGAGCATAACGCGTTTGTGGGTGTATGTGCTGAGTGCATCAAGCAGATAGATGTGCATTGCTGAGAAATCCCTTTCTCCTGGAGATTTCAAACAAAAGCTATCAAATGTAATTAAAAATTTGCAGGGGGAGAGTCAGATCTGAGGGGGAAGATACCAGCTTTGCTTTCTGCTTTATCTCTGAATGGAACTGTTTCCGCTGCTGGAAATGCAGCAAGAGAGAGCCCAGTGCTGCCTCAGTTTGAAGATAATAACTTTAATTTTAGCTCTGAATTACTTTTTTTCAAAGGCAGCCTGACCTCTGACTGGTAAAGTTATTGAATTGCTACATCTGACGTGATGAAGGATAGCTCAACAGGTGGGAGTCAAAGCAGTTTGTATGCAGGCAAGAAATGCAGATATTAAGAGCATTACAAGTAATGAAATACAAATGGTACATCCTATATTGAAAACAAAGCTAGACTTCTTCAATCTTTAAAGAAAAAGTGCTGCTTAACTTCCTTTAAAAAAAATGTTTTTCTCCCAGCTCAGTTCACTTTGTTTGTTCTCTTTCCTTGATTAAATGTTAATCCAGCCCAATCTAATAGCATGCAGTTTCTTTTGTTAAGCGCTGGACTTCTGAACACCATACATGAAGGAGAAAGTTGCATCAGTCACAGGCACAGCGAGAGCAAAAGACGGAAACCAGTGCTAATGCAATTAGCACATTTATTTGTCATGCATCAGAGGAGCTGGAGACCTTGGCACAGGAGCTTCAACTCCCGGCAGCAGCCCAATAGCCCGGGAAGCTGCTGGGAGGGACCAAAGGCCTTGATTTCTCTGAAGGCATGAGCTGGTGCATCCCCTGTCCCCCAGCCCCGCTGCTCCAGCCAGCCCTTGCACCAAGATAATATCCTCCAAAGCCTTCATTCATCATCCCGCCAGCCTTGCGGGATGTCACACAGCCGTCCTCAGCACCATCCCTGATTTTCGTGGCAGCGTGGAGGATCAGCGATGCTCACAGGTCCTGAAATGGAGAGGGGTGACAAATGAAATCTGCAGTGCTCACACCCAGGCAATGCCTCTGCGCTGCCCAGGCACCGTCAGCGGCCGTGGGGCCCTTTCCTCGCCTGTCTGGGTTTTTTCTGAAGCTAACATCAGCAGCTCCATTCAGCACACACGCCATTTAGAGTAGCCATCTGTTCCCTTTAATGAGAAAGCTATCCATTTTTTTCACCTGATTACTGATTGTTCCAGACTATTGTTGATGGCTTTGTTTTATTAATTACTCATTTTTGACATGCTGTATCTGTCCCTTTTGTTCAGAAAACAGATGCTCTTGTTTTCGAGCATTATTACTGATGGTTATTGCTAATAAGATAAAGCCGCAGTTCCACTTTAACTGAGGACTTAGCACTATGGCTCTGGTTATTGTAATGCTTCATCGCTAGATATTTTAGTCAAGCCTGAGAAAATTATTTTTCTTAGTACTACAGGAGCTCCCATCGTTTGAAGGAAGGGGACCTTTTAAATGTTTTTTGGTGCATAGAGCAATGGGGTCCGCAGCTGTTGCTGTTCCTAGAGACCATGATGAAACAAAGAACAAACAATACTAATGTCATTCTGGAATCTCTTCATTTATTAATCCCTGTTATTGTGGGTAAGAAAGACTGCAGGTTCCCATAAGAAACCTCTCAAGTCAAACTCATTCCCTCAGTGTGTTTGAAACTAAGCAAAATTTGCTTTTCAGATTGTCAGACAAGGTTCACCATGTCTTAAAAATTAAAATACAGGGGTCTATTAGCAGTGAAAAACATAGCATCACTACACCAGAGTTAAAATGTTTCCACTAATAACTGTTATTTTAGAATATTATTTCAATATTATGTTAAGCCTTGAAAAACTGTCTGCATGTAGAGTCTAGATGGAAACAACATCTCTGCTTTCTGCTGGAATTAGATACCAGCTCAGTTCAATTTTGAGAAAGTATTTATGAGGTAAAGTCAATTCTTACAAAACATGGTCTCTTATTCTGCAACGAATCCAATTGCTGATATTATGCTTTCATTGTGCTTATTCCCAGCTCCGAGCTCATGCAGTGGATATGAATGGAAACAAGGTGGAGAATCCTATTGACCTTTACATCTATGTGATTGATATGAATGACAACAGACCGGAGTTTATAAACCAAGTCTATAATGGATCTGTTGATGAAGGCTCTAAACCAGGTACAGTTGAAAAAAAGTCTTAAAGCTAACACTTTCAAGCATTAATCTGGCACAGTGGCTTTGCCTCCTCTTGAAATAGAGGGAATGTAGTTGGGGTTTGCTGTTGCTGGCTCTTTGTTGAAGGCTGATGGAGGTGAGAACAATCTAGCTGGTATCTCTTTCTCTGGATGCAGAGAAAGTGCAGGCTTGGGTTTGAGGGAACCTGGATCCTGGTGGTCCCTCCCTAGATGTGGAATTTGAAAAAGCAGAAGTTTTGTAGAGTAATGCTCTGTATTGCCATTCTCATGCACTCGTTACATGTGTACAGGACTGTTATTCTAACTGAAGAGTACTGGAAGCCAACCCAGCAGTGGCCTTTCACTGACCCTGTGCCTGAAATGCTGAATATCTTCCTCCTTGATATTTAATCCAGTCATTTGCAAACTCAATATCTGGCACCTAGTCAGACTCCTAATAGATGTGTCCCAAAGTGTGAAGAAAATACATTATTTGGGGCCTGATGCAAACTTATTGAAGTGGGAATATTGGCACTGAAATTGCTGGCTCATCCTCCATCCCCGTGGACTTTTCTTACAGGGGGTGAAATGGGGAAAAACCCAAAGTAGAATTTCAGAAAATTTCTGGGTGGAAAATTAGTGAGGGTGTAAGCTATACACGGAATACAGATGATGACTTTTATATGAACCTGTTTACATGCTTAGAAAAATACAGTTATAAGGGTCTTTAATATTTACTTTTCAATTATATTGTTGATTCGTTATGAGTGCAGTGTAGCCCTGCAGTTTCCAATATGGTAACAGGAATGGTTTAGCTTATTGCTGAGCATGACTAATATGAGTGTATTCATTCTTCGAACATAAATTAAACTGTGAAAACTGTCACCAGTACAATTGCAAGTCTCCTGAAATCAGAGGGAGATTTGTCCAAGACAAATTTTATCCTTGGTTGTTTGCCAGCTAAGGGGTTAAATATCGTGTGACTTTGTTTTGTGTCAGCAAACATTTATCATGGCTTCTGCGCTGCCTGAGGTGTCATAGGGAAGTCTCCAGTGGCCACTATTTTTAACAAGGTGATTCGCAGTCGTGATTGATTGTCTTTCAGCATCGTCAGGAATGGGCTGCTGTGGTGACACGTAGGGGGGACAGAACGTGATATTATTTTTGAGGAAAGAATAGGTACAGCTCCCTTCCTGATATGCTTTGGGTGGTGACATACTGGCTCCAAAGTGCTGATCCAGGTCCTGATTGGCAGAGGGGACGTGAGAAGTCACTGAACTGATGGCTCTAATGACATCTTCCCAGAGGATTTTCCAGCTTTCATTTGAAGGCCACTTTGAGGCATATCAAGGTTTGAAGATTGATACAACATTTCTGTAGCAAATGAAAGTTCTTACATCTTATTCTAGGACAGATCAATATTCAAAGTGTTCCCAAATGTTTTAACTAGCTCTGCTCATTTGTGTGAAAGAAGCAGTAAATTGCATCTTCTTGTCTGAAATCCAGATAAGCCTTTGAGCCATTAAATCAGAATAGGATAATTTTGCCTACAAAATACTCATGCCTCTGCTTCTACCAGTGATTTTTGGTATTCTATATCCCAGGCTGGAGTGCCTGCCTTTAAGGCAGGTAGGTAGAAAGCAATCTGGTTTTATTCAAAAGCAATTACATTTGTCTTTGATGTATTTGGGTTTTTTCCCCCTCTCTTTCCTGCTTAATCGGTATTCTTTTAAAGGTTTACATTAGTATTGAATTTCTGTTCTTTGCTTTTGTAAAACCTCTTGGGAATTTGGGTATCTGAGGCCCTCATTCTATGCACTTGGCAATAGACATGATGTTGTGTCTTTGAGAAAGTGATAGAGAGTTCATAGAGTTACTGCGGATGTCTGTGTGCTCTTCCTTTGCCTCAAAGTTATGTACCCTGTTTTGTGTAGAGAAAAGTCTAGACAATTTATTTAGCTAAGCGTAGATCTTGCAGATATTTGGAAATTTTGTTATAGTTCAAGATGCTTCAGAATATTGCCATAACTAAGAAGGTCGCACATCAGCCGTTGCAAGAGAAAAAATACGTGGCCAGAATTCATGATTATTTGTAGCAGTGGTTGGCAAATTAAAGGTACTGCCTATTCTTAGAGGTAACAGCAAAATGCATTCAGTATTGATTCAACAGTAAGTTATATATGTATATACATCTATAAATATATATATATGCATATATATGTATTTCCATGTCTAAAGTACAGATTTGCTTCAAGCAAACTAAAAAAATCTTATTATATGTTACAGTAGTTCAGCATTCATTTTCCACTGATCATTGCTACTGAACTATGCCTGAGGACTGAAAATGCATCCCTGGATATCCTGTACAATTGTTATTTCTCACATCTTCCATATGCCCATTTATGTTGACTGTGATTAAAAATGCAGTATTACTCGATTACCAAAGTATCTGAAATGTTCTTAATAATTTTGCACACCTCTTAAAAGAAAAGTAGCTAGAGTATTAGAGTATCCCAAATAAATGCTGACTTTGAGGGCAGTTAGTGTGTGCAGCCAATGACTGAGTGAAGTCAGTAGGAATGTTGCCCAGATTTAAAAATAAAAAAGAAAAAAGGGACATATGGAGCTCAAGCTCTACCCATGGAAATTTTGCAGAGCAAGACCGTCAAAAATATGCTGTTGAGCACAGACTGAGCAGGTCGCAGTGACCTTGAGCAGCAGGGAAAGCCCCTGTAAGGCTTTAGCAGGATCAGTAGAGCAGATCCTATTGAAAGTGAACAGGGAAGGGCTCTGCAGGGCTGGCACCGCACACGCCGGGTGCAGGGCAAAGCCAAGGCACCCGGAGCACAGGCGCTGCAAGGCAGGGCTGTACCTCCCAAGGATGCTGCACCACGAAGTGCAGCGTGGTCCCCTCTCAGCAGCCGGGATGTGGGGAGCTGGAAGGGAGCTGGAAGGGAGCTGGAAGGATGCGTACTCCCACCTGCAGCACAGTGTGATACTGCTGGGCACTTAGCCTCCCATGGAAGAAACAAGTTTGCTTTAGCCTGAAATACAAATATCCTTCAAAGGGGATTGCCCAAGAGCTGGAATAATTGGCAGCAATGTGAAGAGACTCATTAGAGACAGTCTGATGGGGTTTAAGTGAAGGGGCTTCCCAGACTGCAGAGCACTCAGACTGCCTGGGTTTCCAAGGAGCGTGCTCTCTGCAGTCTGCAAGTCACCTTGAAGCAACCCTTGACAGAAATAGAAAAGAAATCATCAAGTATTATTAATTATAATAGGTTGTTGTTGCTGGCTAAGATTATAATAACTTAATTGAAATAGTATCTTACACCATAGCATAGTGTTCTTGAAATCAGGAGCTTATTCTCGGTGGAGTAAAGTTCTCTGTAGTGTGAACATGTGTGTCACAGCCTGGCTCCTATACATCCTCAAAAGTGTGCTGGCTCTTAAACTGAACTGCATTTCTTTTTCCTTTTCTGATACTCTGGAAAACATTTTAACACGTTTTTAGCTTATTGAGCCTAAGGTCATGCAGCTGGACAATTTAACTGTGAAAATGCAGGCCCTTCCAAAAATGCAGGGCAGGAATAGTGATGCAGGATTTTCTTTTCCACGGGACCAACTTTATTCCTTACTCTCCCCCTTCCACGACTTGTTTTGATTTAATGCAGCACTATTTGAAATTGTATCTTAAATAGACCATGTTTTACTCATATTGAATAATGCTTGCCTCTTTGAACTTTGCCTCTATATGAAGAACACAGCCAAGTTTTAAAAATGCAGCTGCAAGCTTGAGCTGAAATTCCCCAGGTCCCTCTGGCAGCCTTAATCAGCAAAGTTCTCCCAGAGCTGCAGAAGTTGCCTTTCAAGCGCTGATAAAGCGGGATGGGTTGCACGGCTTTACTGCCCACCACCACCCACCCTGCGAGGATTCTGCTGCCCTTTCAAAGCCCATGTCTCTGAGCCACACCACGTAAACTCCACCGATTTACAGCAGAAAGGAGCTGGGGTTTGGGGTGGGTTTTTTCCCCTCTGTACAACACCAGTTACTGCCTGCCATGAGCCCAGCCCCTGCACTTGTACCGCTGGGCTTGCAGCATCCCAGGGGTGTCCTTGGGAAGTGATGTTTCAAAAGAAATTCTACATTTTCCCCAAAAAACTTGCTCAGTAAGATACAATAAAAATGCTTAAATGTAAAAGAAAAAAAGATAATTTACTCGCAAAACAAAAATGTGATGAAGAAAGGTTATTTTGGTTACTACAGAAGCTTAGTTTTGATATAACCCCCATAAAATGTACCTTACAGTAGGATGTGGATGTCTTACTTAACTGAAGCGTTCAGTTCTGAAAAGGTCAATGTGAAATGCTCCCCAGTGACTTGAGTGCTTTGCTCTGGGTTGTATCTATTTTGTTTTAACAGAAAGATTGTCAAAAATTAACACATCTCTCCAAAACAATTTGTTCCTGTCAGACTGGCCTTTTCCATTCCCATTCATCCTTTCCACTTCACTAACTCTCTGGATACATCTTGGTCCAAGTGGCTTCTTTTAAACTAGAGTTTCAGCCAGCTCCTTCTTTCTTGTGGTATTGTGTAGGACAGTTTACTTCTGCCACCCTCCCTGGGAGTGGTGTGAAAGCATGCTAAGTATGGACAATCCTCCAAAATAAAAGAATATTAGTATTTCTTACATAAGAAGTGTTGTAATTTAAAATTTCCCCATCTCCTCCAGATTTCATAGAAGTCTGATACAATAATAGTTGATAGCATGCCACATGAAAAATGAAATAGCTGGGAGCCAAATCTATATATGGCAAATTGAGTTAAAGAAATCTCATAAAAATAAGCAGTATATAAAAAATCTAAGGATTTTAAAAGCCGATTATTCTACTAGTGTCCCAGTTTGTTTATTTTATTTCTATGCCAGCAGAGATTCCCTCAGAGATTAACACCATGGACTAATGCACAGATGGGGCCAGAAACTTGAAAGCCATCTGAATATT